CCGGATTCTCATGTCCTCATCTCAAATGGCTCTCCTTTAATGTTCAACTGGTCCAGTGGAATCTGGAAGAGAAGATGCACCGTTCGGCGTGCGAGTAGCAGTCTGTGGCTGCGCAAATGGAGAGCGGGAGATTTAGGAGAAGACGGTGGAGGAGGGATTTGTCGAATTGGGGAGTGAAATGGAATGGAGCTCTGGGCCTGGGTGGGAAGGAGGAAACGTGTGTACAATATTCTGATTGGGATGGGCCTTGGAGTCTTGCTGGAGTGCTGGGCCTGGGTAAAAAAAAAAAAAATTAGCCCAAAGTTCAGTGTGGGCCTGTGCCCACACTGGTCCTAAGGTGGCTCCGCCCCTGCCTGCCATCCCCCACCAGCCACCACCATTTTTGCAACACCACCATCACCACATCACACCAGCAACACCACCGCCAAAACAACACCACACACCACCACTGCACCCAACCACAGGTCACCATCGCCGCCACCACCATCACCATCGTCTACCGCTACCCCCACTGTCCCGACCTCCACTTGCACCACCAACAAAAACCTCAACAACTCATTGCCATGCTGACCGCCACCAGATCCACCACACTAACACCACCACGCTCATCACCGCCAGATCCACCATCACTGCCAGCACCTCTACCTGCACAACCAACAAAAATCCCCAAAAACACCAAAACCACCACAAACCACCACTACAAACAGCATCAACACCACCACCACACCCCCAAGCAGATTCATCGTCATCGACAGAATCTTACCGCCACAGCACCTCATCACCGCCACGACGACGACGACATGTAAACCACTGCAAGCAGATTTGATCAGAGCTGGAGTTGACATCACCACTGTTGAAAACTAACCGCCGCTCTCAAATCTTCTTACACAGGATGACGTTGTCGTCGCCGCCGTAGCCGCTCGTGTCGCTGTCTTGCCATGTTGCAATCCGACTGGCGTCGCGTGTCTCCAACGGTGAAAGAATAAAAAAAGAAGGGAGAGAGATGTAGAGAGAGAGGGATGAAAAAATAATTAGGATTTGGGTGGATGGGGGTGGGTGGGTATATAGATTAATTTAGTTTTAAAATATTATTATTAATATTCAAATGTTTAATTATGATTTGATTTTTGTATAAATAAAATTTATATATGAAATTTGAAATGTTAACTTGAAAATTCTGATTCCATATAATTTCCACATAGTAAAACATAATCCTACTAGTGATGGGATTGGGTCAACCCATTAATAAAAAACATAAATAATGAAAAGAAATTCCCAATAGAAAAATGATGTCCGCATCAGGATATGTCCACGGTGGAAGTTTATTGTGTTTTTTTTTTATAAGTTAAAGACCAAAAATCTATTAGTAATTAAGATTAACTTTTAGTTGGTAATTAGCATAACCTTTTTTTTAAAAAAATTACTTATGCATGTCTACTCAGATCATTTAGCCCCTCTTTCTAAGAGATTGGAATGCAAATAAAGAACATCCCCGGGAAAGCCTCATGACTTGGTGCTGGTTGACGTGACAATAATGACATATCGATAAATGTTGCAATCTGTTTACTAAGCTTTTCATTGATTGTTAATGCATCTGTTCCATTATCACAGAATTATTTCCCCAAAAATTGCAAAGGAGCAGGATTCTATGGGGATTTAAAGTTATTTTTAAAC